ATACAGCAAAATATGCCAGGCAATAAATTGTGCAATCTATTGTTTGTCTTCTTTGTTCAAACTAATTTTTTCTCATAACAAATATTACTATGTCTTTTATACAGGGGCATGACTTTCCAGGTTAAAATATCCTCATGTGAATTTCAGATCCCCTGTGTGGGGGAAAAAAAAAAAATTAGAATAGACCAACTGCTTAATGTCATTGCAAGGTTAGTGGTACCTGGTGCGGAAAATCCCCCCCCCCCCCCCCTCCACTTGCTCACAGACATTTTTAAATCCTAAAAACACATATAATGCCCCTGTATGAGTGATAACACATGGGTGGCCTGAACCCCCCCCCTCTTATCCCATGCTACTGCCACTGCTCCCTAATGTGCAGATCATTAAAAGTTGATTCATTCAGACCACAGAGCGGGTGTTGCTTCAAAGCCAGAGTGTATCTGCATGAGAAACTGACAGTCTGCATACAAATGAGCAGGATCTGCAAAATGGATGTGCAAGCAAAACTCAAGTTCTGGAGCAAGACAAGTTCAGAAGTGGACAAACAACCAGAATTTTCCACCAAAGTTTACATCTGGTGAATGCAAAGAAGAATAGGAAGAAGTAATGTGGAGAAATGTCCCAAAAAAGAGAACTATAAATGAGGTGAGAAAGGATGGAGAGGACATGGGGGTGAGCTGCACATCATAGCAATGCATAGTATGACTTGGTTTGAGGTGGTTGAGGGGGGGGGGATCAAGGCTGGACCTAAAAGACCCTGCTGCCCAGGGTGGGTGAGGGGTTAAGTATCTAAAGGTTCGAATACAATAAGATTCAACATTCAGGTTGGAATACAATACTTGAACCAGCTCTACATGAACAAAGATAACACATTTCTTCACACTTGCAAATAACAACTACACAAATAAATATACAGTGGTATCACTTAAATATTTTCTGGCGGTTCAAAATTCATATTTGCCTTGTAATGATGGGATGTGCATCCTGCAGTCATCACAAGGCATCGTGGTTATATTAAAAAATCTAAATTCAGTATTTCAAAACAACAGGTATATATTATCAAAAAATGTACAAAATTAACACACACACACACACAATATATATATATATATAATAACAAGAAATATGGTAGCAGAAATGATAAATGAAGCAAGATTTGTAATGTATTAATTTCTAGAATGATTTCACATGCATACAAAGGATGATTAAAGGCAAGAGAATTGACTTAATTGCACTAGGTTTTATCCCACTTGGCTTAGTCTTTCTCTGAGGAAATCTCGTCTGACAAGAATCGTTTTCAATTTTGTGCCAGGTCACTGCTGGTGTAAGAGGGAATGAATGAGTGGAATGGCTTGCTGGCAGTACTATGGTCAGTCCAGGAAAAGCAATGGACCCAAGCAATGTTCTCAGGGCTCTCAAGGAGGCAGGATGAGTAGATGATTCAGGAGAAGAGGGTGAACCAACAACCTTGACAAGATTACAGGAACTTCATGTTAAAAAAAAGGTGTTGGCAGATATGAACACTATACAGGTAGCCAAAGAAGAATAGTAAACCAACACAGAACTGGTGTTATCAGTCGTCACATGTGGAGGGAGATACTGAAGATGGGATCCAAGCGCTTTAGGCCTTGTCCAAAGTGCAATGAATAACTGACTGATGTTCAACCCCACCAGGACATCACACTAAGCGATAAACACCGGTGACACAAAGTGCCACCATTTGGATGAGGATCACCCGGGGACACATCCAAGAAACCCCGTTCAGCCCATAGGGTAATTAGGGTCCCCAACCACAGCCGGTGTGGGGCTTCAAAACAATGACAAACTGTGTCCTCCATAGAAACAGTCGATACCACATGCAGTGAACTTTAGTCTTTCTCCACAGAAATGCAGTTTGCCCACTAAGAATGCAGTATAAAACACACAGCTCCTGAGTTCCAGTGACAAGCCACAACTTTCTGAGCTCAAAGCATACGTGTTAACCAATTTACCACAGAGGCCATCTCAAATTCATACAACCTCAAGATTCAGTGAAAAGTTCCCCTATGTGCCCACATGCACAACTAAAGACAACAATTTTTTTTCAGAGAAAAGCATTTATTACCTTCCTTGTAGACTTATTTGAACTCCATGTGAATTTACAGACAAAAGTAAACTGCCATTGTCCATGCCCTTAGTGTATTGGGTCTATAATGCTTAACCTATATTATGTAGACCAACTGGCACTGGATGGGGGATAGTTAGCATCCTACAACTTGAGGGAAAGGGGGCTGCAGACTCAATATGTTTAAATAGGAAAAACAGAATTATATCACGATCACCTTTGCTTGTGCCTGGGTCTGGGACAAAAAAAGACAATTCTCTATGGGATTACAGATAATGATTTTCACAAGGGATTTTAAAAAAATGACAACTTTTCTATAACAGAAAATTTCCATCAGATGGGCTTCAATTTACTTAAGAGACTTGTCCAACATGGCTTCGTCTAATATTTTTAGTTATGACCTTTGCCTGCCACAGCTTTTTCTGGCTAGTATTCATTGCCTGTGTTCACAAGCGTGTCAGAGCTTCAATTGGCCAAACAAACATTTAAATTTCTCTTGGAGATACCTCAATTAAGCAATTTTGTGCATTCTGGTTGGTAATTGTAGTACTGTCTATTTATGTACTGTGCTGATGAAAGCTTTATAACTGCAACATTCACTTGTCATTTTTGATTGTGTTCTGTGAAGCTGACTACTTTTAATTTGATTTAATAATTTTTCATGAAACTTTTCCATAAGACTGATTTCTGTCCTGTGCCATCTCTCCAGTGGAAGGTGGCAACAGGAAGGTGGCTACATGAAGGTGGCTACAGGAAGGTGGCTACAGGAAGGTGGCTACATGAAGGTGGCTACATGAAGGTGGCTACATGAAGGTGGCTAGAGGAAGGAAGCTACATGAAGGTGGCTAGAGGAAGGGGGCTACATGAAGGTGGCAACATGAAGGTGGCTACAGGAAGGTGGCTAAATGAAGGTGGCTACAGGAAGGTGGCTAAATGAAGGTGGCTACATGAAGGTGGCTACATGAAGGTGGCTACAAATGATACTGTTGAAGCTGGGAGTAAAGAACACCCTATATCCGGTATAATATGGAGACTAGGCTAAATTTAATATTGTTAAATTCTCATCAAAAGGGGGCTCTCTAAAACTGACTCAGTCTTCCACAGCAAATATAGGAAATGTTATCGAAAGTAAAGGCAGATGGTGTGATGCTGACTACAGTGCCCATTGAGAGAAAACTGCTCTAAAATATGGAGCTAGCCCCATAAATCCAATTCGCATCAATGTGTTGAAAAAGGACATTTCCTTCTGTCACTTTACATTCACTTGGGAATAAAGAACACCGCTGTCATGTGAACACAACTTTAAGATGGCACTAAAGAACATAATTTTCAGATGAGATTTAAAACAACATCAAGAGACAACAGATCAAACAGTTTGGGCATGTGCCGAGACTACCAACAGACACTGCGCCACAGACAGCCCTGTCACTCAGATATAATGGAAGTGAACTAGAGGTTTACCAGACAAGTGATGGACAGATGGAAAATCCGAGGCCGTGAGTACCAGGACCTACCTAGCACATTTCAAGTTTCGCACCCAATGCCTCTTTAAACCTGACGCTCAAAGGCAAAAAAGGACTACTGAACTTCCTGCTGAGTACAATATTTAACTATTGCAGTCCCAAGGAATGTGTCATGTATAATCTGCTCATAAGTGGGACCTTTAGGCACATTCCGCTCCATCTATTTTATTGGGGGTGGGGAGGCATAACTTTCACGGGAGCTGAGCTTCTTCCTCTCCCACTTCAAGATTATTTACAAAGGACTATGCCCCCCTCCCATCTACACACATTTACCTTTTAAAGTGTTTATTCATTCCAAATGATTTTAAATATATTATTACTTTTATTTCCATTCAGCAAATAATAATGAATATTATTGTTTTTTTCCCCCATGTAGATTTCAGAACCCCATGGGGAAGGGGGGGGGGGGATAGATCTACTGCCCCCCCCCCCCAAACATGCATGTCATAAAAGGTGGCTAAAAAAGGTGTTTCCAAGTCAGAGTATACCTGCCTAACAGGCAAAGAACCAACTGTCTGCATAGAAATAAACAGGATCTGTAATAGGAAATGCACCAAAGTCCAGAAGTGGATGAACAATGAGAGCTTTTCGCTGGAGTTTACATCCGGTATACACTAAACAAGAAGAATACATTATTATGTGCAATTAATTACACAATGCCTAAGCCTCCCCCCCCCCCCCCCCCCCAACCCTACCCCACCCAAAAAATTATAAGGGAGCTGATGGCGCTGCTGAATCTGTTGTTTTGCCTCTGTGTAACAAACCACACTTGCAGTATTATTACATTTTTTTCCTGTAGCCTAAGTACACTAAAGAAATCTGGCTAGATCTCTGAACAAACAATAAAAAAAAAACAAAATTACAGCTCTAAACGTCAAATAAACTGTGTTTGTGACATTTGTCACTGCTATTATTGTCTCTTTCGGCACATGCAACAAAATCTTCTAGGACTGAAAAAGTCAGTATTCTGCCAAGTATAGTATTTGCAACATCCAACTCAGTTAAATTTTTGTGACATTTAACTCAATACAGTTCTTGCAACACATGCCTAGGACTATCCCTATAACATCTTACCCTTAGTACAGTCCCAAATCAGATATGGTAATAAAAAAAACAGAATCAATGAAAGATAATGACACAGGTGTGATCTTATTTACCACAAAATAATTATCAACACGGAATAATGACTGAAATGGGAAAGCAAAGTAAACAAGTTGAGAAATATATTAAAATTTAGTCTTTACACAGAATAGGAACAACATGCCAATAAGTAGTAACAGTTTGAAATTGACTGTGGAGTTTGCAAGCTTCAGTTCCTGTAGGACTTCCAGATGAATGGCTGTTGGGACAGTAGGAACACTCTCATGGACAAATCATTCGCAGGCCAGCTTGCCATCAAAGCTGCTGAGTGCAATGCCAAAGGCTTGTAGAGCACACATGGGGTAGTTGTAGTCCATGGTAAAGACATCCTCGGCCACTCGACCAAACTGCATGACAATGTAGTCAACTGTGGACATGGATGATACAGTGGCATTACAACCAAAGCCTTAAAAAGAAATAATGCTGAACACACACAAATATGCTCTCTGCTACTTGGCCAAAGTACAGGAGAATGGTGTGTGTGCATGTGTGCGTGTGTGTTTTGTGTATATTGTTAGACCTATAATTTATAGACCAATAGGCACTCAGCGGGTGATGTGGTCAACATTACACTGGTCAACTTTCCAGGACTTTACCTGGCAACCATTTAAGGTTTAGTCAACTTGGGAGCTAAGGTCATGCTTTAAAAAAAATCTGGCTTCAGTGATGGTGTATTTCTCCACAAATCCTATTTTCCATACCAAAAAATTGGGTTATTTTGTTCCTATGACATTAACAAAAACTGTCCAGATATTTCTATGGCTGACATTTACATCTCTGAATAAGCACATTCTGGTCACCGATGTAGCCATGGGTGTTCCATACATTCAGTTTTAGCCAAGACTAATTCTGACCATGCAAGCTTTAAAGACTCCGTATCTGTGAAAAAATGAACTAATTCGGTACTAAGCAACCAACCAAACGTTTATTAATAACTCCTGGCAAAATGTGGTTTTCTTAATTTATGTTATCTCAACAATTTGCTACAACAAGCCAGTGTGTGTTCTGGGCTCCACTGTGGATAGGACCAATGAGCATATCGTAAAGTGATTAATTAGCTGTTTGCTGAAATTGGACATGTTGGGCAAAAAAGTGTGGATATGGGATCACAGCTGTATACCACAAAATATCATGCCTACCATCCTTGTAAAAGTGAGCCTTGCCGAAGATGAAGATACATTACTCCGCAATAGTGTCATTTTTACTCAACAATCTTTTGTTCAATTAGGCAATTTGTAACACTAATTATTTTGAAATTACTGCTTTGTGTAAAAAGAGTTGAAGTAACTACTGTTTGAGACTGGCGAGTTAATTACACCTGCCAATATCCCAGACATCTGGAAAGACATTTTACACTCTGCTCTGGTAGAAAGTCATTCAAGGAAATAAATATATATATCAAGCCTGAACATCTAACCAAAATAATGCAGAACTCACCATCATTATCATGTACAATCTGGAAATTTTTCACTGATGCTTGTGTGACTCGACCATGAAAATTGAGCACATAGGATTGAGTGTCTGAAAAATTAAACACAAGCTTAAGCCAGTATCAGATCGAACAGGTGCCAGAAATCTAGACCATTCAGAAACCATGATTTATGTCAGTATATGTCAAGTAAAAAACTTTTTTTTTTAATGCCAGTGGTGCCATGGGCATATGATGCTAGCCTCACATATTTTAATAGACTAATAAGCATTTGATAGGTAATGTGGTCAATATCATACTGTCCGCCTTTACTTCCCATCACTTTACCAGGTACTTTTGGGCTAGGTTGGCATGGTAGCCCATGACATCTTTTTGGAACAAAACATCCAATTTGATGTGGATTCAAACCTACAGGCTTCAGGTTCCAGAGTGTCTATCTAGCCTCTTACACTACTGCAGCTCCCAAAATTGGACAGTTCAAACTGGAAACACTTTTTTAAAATGCCAACAAACGGTGAGACCTACTGTATATATGACTGCTCAACACGGGACTTTCTGTTTCAGAGACAACTGCAAAAACTCACACACACTGAATAACATTCTGATATATCACTGTCTATATTGTAAATATAATAGCAGAAGGCATGGTACCAGGAAGGAGGGGCAGGGGCCCACCAACACAAAGATGGGCACAGGATATAAGTGACTCTTTGAATATGAAAGTACACAAGGCGGGAGAGCCGGTGACAGACTAAGTTTCTTTCAGGCAGACTGTGGTGAGAGCGATGTTCTGAAAAGGACCAGCTACATGATGTTGATGACACTGCTTGGCCACGGCACTCATTTTGCATCTGTCTGTAATCCTACTCTTCTTCCACTGTTACACTTTGAATGAAGCAAAGGCCGAAATATAACCGCCCAGAAACATTCAAACTTTTGCATCCTTCTTAACTTAAGATTAAAACTGATATTTGCAGTAAGCGAAGAATATTCTAAGCAATTATCTTTGTAAGCTGAGGTGAGAATGATAATTCTTATGAGTTATAAAATGCCAGTACTGTTGAACGGAAGTGAATCATTGACAGTCAGCAGAACAATGTAAAATTATGTGGAAGCTGCAGTGATGTGGTTTACAGAAGAATTATGAGAATATGGTGGACTGAAGAAAAACCATAGTGAAGATATCTTGGAATTAACATACAAAGAGAACTGATTGAGAACTTTAGAAGGAAACAATCCATATTCTTTGGGTAAAACAGTTAAAGGGCAAAACGTGCAGGGTGAGGGAAGGGAATCAAGAGTAAGAGGATGTTGGGCAATTTATTGGAAGAACATCTGCATTAACAATTATTGGAACTACTTTTTCATCTTTCATTCTTTGTTCTCTGCCTGTAAGCTCAGGCGGAAAGTCCTGGTTAATCGTCCATTTAGACTTTAACTTTGTGCCAGGGCCTGAGTTTTGTGTGTGGAACCATTTTACTGGCTTATTTGTGGGCAGTTGGTTGTTTCTTCCTTGCCGTTCGGGCAAATGCATTCCGACTTCAATGGAAGTCCCCAATTAGTCAACTTACTTACTCATTTACTTAGTCGCTCCTCTTCTACCTTGGGGTGATGAGGTTTGCCAAAGAGATTGCCAGACATCTCTATCAGCAGTTTTCTTCCTAGCTTTGTTCCATTCTAGTCCTGTCAGTTAGGGACTGTCAGATGTTATCTTCCTAGTGGACCCTGGGTCACCCTGGAGGTCTGGTTCCCTGGTTCTTAGCCTTCCATGCCTGCCTTAGTGGCCGATTTTCTCCAATTCTGCATACATGACCAAATATAACTGTTACTGATCCACTAGGGTTTGTAAGGATTGTGTATCAAGATCTTGACATATTGTCTGATTGCGGACTTTGTCCCTTCTTGTCACTCCCAATTAGTCGACTACAATGTCTATTCTTGTTTTCCCCACAACGGGACCCCGGAACCCACACATGGAATTTGAGAAACAAGAGACAGAGGGCTGTGGATACACAAGACGATTATAACTCCACAGCATGGACTGACAGCACAAGCATCAGGTCACTGTTACATACCATCATTCCACACTGGGGTTTTATTATGGAGCTCAAGCAAATTCTCCATGTTTTTCCTTTTCCACCTCTCTATGAGACCATCATGAGCCTGAAAAGATAAAGAGAGAGTGGAACAGTCACAGATTATTTCACACTTCCAGATCAATAATCTAGCTATACTCTCTTGCTGACACATAAGACACTCACAAGTGATCTATATTGCCACTGGTCTGCTGCTTATCTGCTCATGGAACACCTTGTCAGCTGACACTCCTGCATTTCCTTTTCTACTGTCCTCCAGGTTTCCTTAGGCCATCCACATCTTCTTTTTCTAGCGACTACAGTTTAGGAAATTTGAGATCTTTTCGACAATTTCCGTCACCATGGAAACCGTTTGAAACTTGTTTCTGAAATGTAGGCTGGGGTTTCGGGATGGGTCCTAATCTCTCATCAAATTTTGCAATTGGTGTGATTTTTTGGGGGCTCTAAATGGCTGAAAACATTATCCTTAAGGAACCCGATTAAACAGCGCATGTCTACGACAGCCGGACGTCCTCTGTTTTTCTGTTACATCCGTTTGATTGAAAATAGCGTTAAGTATTTAAAGTTGGCTTTAGGCCTTAAACATTACCAGATGTGGTAATGCTAGCTATAATTGAATTTCCGTCCAATTTTAAATTTGTATATAAAATGTCTTTCTTGTCTGTGGCTGTTTAGATTTACAGTGACATTTTTCATGCAATCGCTATTATGTGGCTGTGTCTCATTCGTCATTGGCTGCCATCTTGTCCAATGACAGTTCAATGTCAACAAAGCCAAAACGAAAGTTGCGCAGTTTTTGGTTGCGCAGAGAAAACCTCTTGTTCTGGGAGACAAGTTTTAGCAGCTGCTTTCTACATCTCATCTCCACAAAAACCTACATATCTCAGCTCAGAAATGACATACAAGCCTAAATGAGGTACCATTGGAAAGAGATTGTTTACAGCTATCTAACTGTGCTGGTTTTATTGGTGTAGAGGGCATTTTAAAATTTTGACTGAAGTAACTACTTTTTCCATCTGCCATCCACAAGAGAGCTGCTCTTACAATGCATTCTGCAAACATGTCTAAGCTATTTCCAATTTCTTTCTTTGATAATGTTTGCAAAGGTGAACAGTTTATTTCCTCCTCCATCTGTTGTCTTTTTTTTGGGCCAAAATATATGAAAAATTATCCTTAAAGCTCAGTAATCTGGTTCATTACATTTATAATTTATATTGTGTTTGCAGGTTTTCATCTCTGTAAGAGAATACAAGCAACCAGTACAGTTTGTAAATATTCTTTCTCTCTTTCAGTTCCAGAAGGTCACAGTTGATGCCAGATCAGTCAACAATAACAACAACATGTGTTAAATGTGTTAAATCCATCATCATCATCATCATCATGCAACTTACTAATTGGCATGGGTGATCATGTCTTTCCACATTTGCAATGTAAACAGCATGTATCAGTTTATGTGCTGACACCCTTCAATGCCATTATGAAACGCTATCAAGAACCTGTTTGTGGTGTCTTTTTCTGTCTCTATTTCCAGAAATGTTTCCAGCTGTCACCACAGGTTCAGGTTGATTCCTACTTATAAAGCATCCAAGAAATGAAGACTATCCCTGGTGTGTGAGATAAATTGTCTTCCAGCCTTTCGCCTCTTTCAAAATATCTGGATTACTCATTTTGGTTGTCTAATGAATGTAAACGTTCTTCTGCAAAACCGTATCTATCAGGCAACTGATGTTACTGCATTCTAATGAGATGGAGCTGGGTACTTTATCTGTAGTCTAATATATTAATATAGCTGGGTATTTTAGTGTAGATACTATTAAGGAGAAGAGTATTTTTCTCTCTGGATAAAGTTAAGGAGCTGGGTATTTTATCTGTAGACAAAGTTAAGGAGCTGGGTATTTTATCTGTAGACAAAGTTAAGGAGCTGGGTATTTTATCTGTAGACAAAGTTAAGGAGCTGGGTATTTTATCTGTAGACAAAGTTAAGGAGCTGGGTATTTTATCTGTAGACAAAGTTAAGGAGTAGGGTATTTTATCTGTATACAAAGTTAAGGAGTAGGGTATTTTATCTGTAGACAAAGTTGAGGAGTAGGGTATTTTATCTGTAGACAAAGTTAAGGAGTAGGGTATTTTATCTGTAGACAAAGTTGAGGAGTAGGTTATTTTATCTGTAGACAAAGTTGAGGAGCTGGGTATTTTATCTGTAGACAAAGTTGAGGAGTAGGGTATTTTATCTGTAGGCAAAGTTAAGGAGTAGGTTATTTTATCTGTAGGCAAAGCTAGGCATGAAGTTGCACAGCGAAGTAAATTACACTATCTGTAAGACAACATTAGATGGTTCTGATTGTGATCTGTTTACCTGTAAATGAAGCTAGTAGACTGATTATGTTACAAAGGTACAGACATGATGTAATTGGTAACTAAATACAAGGCCTATCTTGTAACAAACAACAGAATAAAGAGCTAACTCACTCCATGAGGCTTAATGTTGACACGCTGATGATCACTTGTCATTCCTGGTATGATTATGGTCATCTTCCTTGGCCCTTTGAAGCCCAGCACATTAGTTTCCTAGCAAGACATGAAGTTAAAGGTTAAAGTCAAGATCTTATTCTTGTCTCTACTCATGGAATGCCTCGTGGTGTCAGGGGAGGAAGAGATCTCTAGAACGGGCCCTTCTATTCACTTCGTATAAAGTACTTTTCAGTGTCTCTGATATTTCTGCGGTCCATCTTCTGCGTGGTCGACCTCTGGGTCTGTTACCACTGTGTCATATCACTTCTCTCTGTCAAGATAAATGACATAATTGCACCAGATTTTAGCCCATATGGCTTGGTCTCTCTCCGGAGAATGACAAGCTTCCTGACAAGAACATCACACAAAGCACAACCCCTTTAGCTCCAATGACAATTCCCAGGGGTTGCCATTTAACAATGCAGCGGCGAAATGAACCTATATCAACCAGAGTACGGGGCAAATGGCTTGACCAATCCACTGCGGAGATCCCCTTAACGCAAAACATGAAACTGAAATAAGCAAAAAATAACAAGATTAACTGTTTCCATAATATGAAGGTGATCATAAACAACCCCAGATAAGGATTACTTAACCACTTTATTTCCAGACAATTAACATTGTACCTTTTTCAGTTCCAAATATTAAATTACCTCTTTCAGTTCCAAATATTACATTACCTCTTTCAGTTCAAATCAATAGACTGTCTTTTTACTTCCAAATATTAAAGTACTCCTTTCAATCATTACACTGCCTCTTTCAGTGTGAATCATTACACTTTTTTTTTTCAGTTCCAAATATCACACTGCCTTTTTCAGTCAGAATCATTACACTTTCTCTTTCAGTTCCAAACAATACACTGCTGCTTTCAGTTTGAATCATTACTTTGCTTATTTCCCATCCAGATATTAAACTGCCTCATTCAGTTCAAAATATTACATTGCCTCTTTCAGTTCCAAATATTACTTTGCCTCATTCAGTTCCAAATATTACACTGCCTCATTCAGTTCCAAATATTACTTTGCCTCATTCAGTTCCAAATATTACATTCAGTTCCAAATCTTCATTCAGTTCAAAATATTATTACATTGCCTCATTCAATTCCAAATATTACATTGCCTCTTTCAGTTCCAAATATTACACTGCCTCTTTAAGTTCCAACAACTACTATTTAAATTCCTCCAGTTCCGGACAATAATAAGTCACATCTGTAAAACTCATGTGCACGCAACTCATGCTCTGGAACAAGACTAAAGTCCAGAAGTGGACGAACAACCAGAACTTTCTGCCAGAGTTTACAGCTGGTGAGCATGATGAAGAAGAGGAATAAATTCAAACAAATGCTATTAGTTTAAAATTGCCCTCCCCCACTCTTACACACACAAACCAAATAACTCTTTGATCTAAGAAGATCAGTAAAAACTTACATAAGCGACAGCGACTAACTCTTGCCTTGCTCCCTGAGATCCAGCCTTTTTAGGGTTGTCTCCGTGATCAAATAATGTGAACTGTGTGCCAAGTAAGTTGGATCTGCAGAACAAAGCAATCATATCAGCTACAAGCCGGGCTTTTTTTATGGTGGTATGCAACAGTGTGCAGTTCCAGCATCTTTTTTTTTTAGACACTCTGTGGTCAGTACCGCTACCTTTTTTTTCTATAGGGAAACAACACTTGCTGCAAGCACTGATTTAACTTATAGTGGAATTGTATGTATTATACTCAGTCCTTCTGTATGGTACAAAAACAAGGATATGAACAAGCAAGACTGAGTGATTGATGTCAGACTGATTGACTTGACTGATGATGCCACTGAAACTGACTTCTTGCACTTCAGTTGCACTTCAGACAGCGTTCTTCAATCTGTCTACAGCCATGGCCCACCAAAACAGAGGAAACTGTTTCACAGCTCACCTAACAGTTAACCACCCATGGAAGAAGAAGGATTGTAGACAGCAGTTTATTTGTTAAATCTGAGGTCAAACAGTTACAACTGTCAGTTAATGTGTTATCTGTTGCTGCTTTGAGGTTACCAGACAATTGATGTTTGTGGCTGGAGGGTTGTTTCTGATATACAAAGTGTTACAAAAACATCCATTCAACATCGCTGTTTGGTTTTAGTATTTTCCCACATATAGGAAATCCTTGGGATGTTACTCCTACAGACTGGAAGAGAAAAACCACATAACCTACATTATTACATGATTAAGCAGAAATTGTTGGGAGCCCAAAGGACTTTTCCATGGCACACCAGTGGGCTGCGGCCCATGGGTTGAAGAACACTGAGGCCTAAGACTTGTTGTCAATTAAATTATGAAGAATTTGTTGCTTATCGGTCTTACCACATCCACTAGTTTATCAGTCACTGATCAAAATTAATACTCAAGTAATATTGAAGTCCCTAGAAAAGAAGAGTAATACTGTAACCTGCCAAGCATGTCTTAAGACAGGAGATTCAATTAAGTTTACTCCAGGGCCAAAATTTCAGAAATGTGCAGCCTCATGGTACAGAAGTCTCAGCCAAAGCATAGAAAGATCATCAATACAAAACACTGGCAGTGATCTGAGGGCCAGATGTTGCCACGGGCCACCAGTTGAATAGCCCTGTCTTAAGAGGTGACTAAGAAGGGTTAGTTTGTGGTCATCTACCTCATCCTGTATAGAAAATGTTAACCTCAAAAGCCAATCATGTATGCATAAGCCTGAAAAGGAAACAAGATTACCTCACCAATCAAAATAAGTGGTGGCAGATTGTCGAAGGATGCACAGAAAGTTAAAAGGAGTTTAAGAAGACTGATTAGACAGCGACAAAAGAAATGAAAACAGCATTTTAAGAGTCTGTAAAACAAGATAGAATATAGCATACAAGAAGATTCTATACAGAGGGACAACAATATTGTTTTCATGCCAAACACAGGGACATCTCTCATATGGTGAAAACAAAGCTTTTAAAACTGAAGCAATAATGTACCAGAAAGAACGATAATCAAAACAACAAAGCGCTTCAAAATGTGAGAGAACTTCATCAGCAATGTACTTCAAAATGTGAGAGAACTTCATCAGCAATGTACTTCAAAATGTGAGAGAACTTCATCAGCAATGTACTTCAAAATGTGAGAGAACTTCATCAGCAATGTACTTCAAAAATGTGAGAGAACTTCATCAGCAATGTACTTCAAAATGTGAGAGAACTTCATCAGCAATGTACTTCAAAATGTGAGAGAACTTCATCAGCAATGTACTTCAAAATGTTGAGAGAACTTTCATCAGCAATGTACTTCAAAATGTGAGAGAACTTCATCAGCAATGTACTTCAAAATGTGAGAGAACTTCATCAGCAATGTACTTCAAAATGTGAGAGAACTTCATCAGCAATGTACTTCAAAATGTGAGAGAACTTCATCAGCAATGTACTTCAAAATGTGAGAGAACTTCATCAGCAATGTACTTCAAAATGTGAGAGAACTTCATCAGCAATGTACTTCAAAATGTGAGAGAACTTCATCAGCAATGTACTTCAAAATGTGAGAGAACTTCATCAGCAATGTACTTCAAAATGTAAGAGAACTTCATCAGCAATGTACTTCAAAATGTGAGAGAACTTCATCAGCAATGTACTTCAAAATGTGAGAGAACTTCATCAGCAATGTACTTCAAAATGTGAGAGAACTTCATCAGCAATGTACTTCAAAATGTGAGAGAACTTCATCAGCAATGTACTTCAAAATGTGAGAGAACTTCATCAGCAATGTACTTCAAAATGTGAGAGAACTTCATCAGCAATGTACTTCAAAATGTGAGAGAACTTCATCAGCAATGTACTTCAAAATGTGAGAGAACTTCATCAGCAATGTACTTCAAAATGTGAGAGAACTTCATCAGCAATGTACTTCAAAATGTGAGAGAACTTCATCAGCAATGTACTTCAAAATGTCAGGTAACTGAGGCAACAGTGCTCCTGTACTAACAAATCCCAGACAACTTAACAATGCTCATGTACTAACAAATCACAGACAACTCAACAATGCTTATGTACTAACAAATCACAGACAACTTAACAATGCTCATGTACTAACAAATCCCAGACAACTCAACAATGCTCATGTACTAACAAATCACAGACAACTCAACAATGCTCCTGTACTAACAAATCCCAGACAACTCAACAATGCTCATGTACTAACAAATCCCAGACAACTCAACAATGCTCATGTACTAACAAATCACAGACAACTCAACAATGCTCATGTACTAACAAATCACAGACAACTCAACAATGCTTATGTACTAACAAATCCCAGACAACTCAACAATGCTCATGTACTAACAAATCACAGACAACTCAACAATGCTCATGTACTAACAAATCACAGACAACTCAACAATGCTCATGTACTAACAAATCACAGACAACTCAACAATGCTCCTGTACTAACAAATCAAGACAATCAACAATGCTCATGTACTAACAAATCACAGACAACTCAACAATGCTCATGTACTAACAAATCACAGACAACTCAACAATGCTCATGTACTAACAAATCACAGACAACTCAACAATGCTCATCTAACAAATCACAGACAACTCAACAATGCTCATGTACTAACAAATCACAGACAACTCAACAATGCTCATGTACTAACAAATCACAGACAACTCAACAATGCTCATGTACTAACAAATCACAGACAACTCAACAATGCTCATGTACTAACAAATCACAGACAACTCAATGCTGTACTAACAAATCCCAGACAACTCAACAATGCTCATGTACTAACAAATCTCAGACAACTCAACAATACTCATGTACTGACAAATCACAGACAACTCAACAATGCTCATGTACTAACAAATCACAGACAACTCAACAATGCTCATGTACTAACAAATCACAGACAACTCAACAATGCTCATGTACTAACAAATCACAGACAACTCAACAATGCTCATGTACTAACAAATCTCAGACAACTCAACAATGCTCATGTACTAACAAATTACAGACAACTCAACAATGCTCATGTACTAACAAATCACAGACAACTCAACAATGCTCATGTACTAACAAATCACAGACAACTCAACAATGCTCATGTACTAACAAATCCCAGACAACTCAACAATGCTTATGTACTAACAAATCACAGACAACCCAACAATGCTCATATACTAACAAATCCCAGACAACTCAACAATGCTTATGTACTAACAAATCACAGACAACTCGACAATGCTCATGTACTAACAAATCACAGACAACTCGACAAAGCTCATGTACTAACAAATCACAGACAACTCAACAGAGTATCAACATTCAGAAAATTGCTCACATAGTCTGATACAGCTAAGGTAAATGTACTAGTAATCTTATACATGTCTTGTAATGACTCGTCTTGTAATGACTCACCTTAACTTCCCACAGTAGGCTTCACCGTTTCGGGTTAAGTCTGTGGGGTCGGTGGTGATGAGATAATTTGATGTGGTGCTCTTCTTTCTTTTTCTGCCTGCCAGCAAGAATATCTGAAGAATAACAAATGTGGATGGCCATTAACATTTTGAATTAGTGGATGGGTTCCCGTACTATCATCATCATGAGCAATGCCAACTCTACACTAAAGAATGACTCCAGTGAATCTCTAACACCTTTTGTCCTGTGTGCTCCTGATGCAATCAGACATGTTCTTTCAGTTCATCTCTTGGTGCTGTCCACTTCAGGGGTGTCCATGGTGAAGTGATATAGCTAAGTCTAACACCTTTTGTCCTGTGTGCTCCTGATGCAATCAGACAGGTTCTTTCAGTTCATCTCTTGGTGCTGTCCACTTCAGGGGTGTCCATAGTGAGGTGATATAGCTAAGTACCTCAGTATTTGTTGGCTGTGGGCTGGGCACTGAATTCTGTCCTCTGGTCTGCAAGTAAAGGTATTTTGTAGTTACAGGATACCAGTATACCTGGATACACGTTTTTCGGGACACAAGGTCAGGTGCGCCATTTTTTGGCTCCAGAATACCAGACAAAATCCAGGATGCTAGCTGCAGAGGGCAGAACTCTCGGAGTTACCGAGCATCTCCATAACTTTAAAAATGGTTAGGTTACTTTAACATCGAGGATTTAAGCCAGTCTACAAGACACTTGAAAATGATGGATTGTAGAATCATGATCGAATCTAACCCCATTTTCTGCTGCCAGTAAAAAAAAACTTTAAAAAAGAACAGTGCCACATATTTTCCCTATTAAAAATACCAAAAAGCCATCATTTTGAAACAAATAAGGTGATTTCTAGAGGGTTGGACTAAATTATTTACATTAATTTAAATGGGGAAATATAGTTTCAGAGTACCAGTTATTCACCATATGAGTTCAGCCATGCAATGGATTAAAATCATATCTTGAGTTTCCACTGTACTCCCCTGAAGGTCTTCAGTGGAGATATGAAAATTCTTGCTTTTAGATGCTTTTGATAGGGCAAACATCTGCTCTGTAGAGAGGAGCTCAGCCATACAGGATAAATCTTAGTACAATAAAGATGATCTTTTGCAACTGACACACTGGCCACAGAACTAAATGGCTCCCACTGCAAAAAGGACAGTTCCTGTATGTAGCTAGCAAGCTTGCAACTGAGACATTAGCCACAGAACTAAATGGCTCCCACTACAATGAGGACAGTTCTTGTATGTAGCTAGCAAACTTGCAACTGACACACTGGCCACAGAACTATATGGCTCCCACTACAATAAGGACAGTTCTTGTATGTAGCTAGCAAGCTTGCAACTGATACACTCGCCACAGAAATACATGGCTCCCACTACAATGAGGACAGTTCTTGTATGTAGCTAGCAAACTTGCAACTGACACACTGGCCACAGAACTAAATGGCTCCCACTACAATGAGGACAGTTCTTGTATGTAGCTAGCAAACTTGCAACAGACACACTGGCCACAGAACTACATGGCTCCTACTACAATGAGGACAGTTCTTGTATGTAGCTAGCAAACTTGCAACAGACACACTGGCCACAGAACTACCTGGCTCCCACTACAATAAGGACAGTTCTTGTATGTAACTAGCAAGCTTGCAACTGATACACTCGCCACAGAACTACATAGGCTCCCACTACAATAAGGACAGTTCTTGTATGTAGCTAGCAAACTTGCAACTGACACACTGGCCACAGAACTATGTGGCTCCCACTACAATAAGGACAGTTCCTGTATGAAGCTAGCAAACTTGCAACTGACACACTGGCCACAGAACTACATGGCTCCCATTACAATGAGGACAGTTCTTGTATGTAGCTAGCAAACTTGCAACTGACACACTGGCCACAGAACTATGTGGCTCCCACTACAATAAGGACAGTTCCTGTATGTAGCTAGCAAGCTTGCAACGGACACACTGGCCACAGAACTACATGGCTCCTACTACAATGAGGACAGTTCTTGTATGTAGCTAGCAAACTTGCAACGGACACACTGGCCACAGAACTACATGGCTCCCACTACAAAAAGGACAGTTCTTGTATGCAGCTAGCAAACTTGCAACTGACACACTGGCCACAGAACTACGTGGCTCCCACCACAATAAGGACAGTTCCTGTATGAAGCTAGCAAACTTGCAACTAACACTGGCCACAGAACTACATGGCTCCCATTACAATGAGATTACAATGAGGACAGTTCTTGTATGTAGCTAGCAAGCTTGCAACTGACACACTGGCCACAGAACTACATGGCTCCCACTACAATAAGGACAGTTCCTGTATGTAGCTAGCAAACTTGCAACTGAGACATTAGCCACATAACTACATGGCTCCCACTACAATAAGGACAGTTCTTGTATGTAGCTAGCAAGCTTGCAACTGAGACATTAGCCACAGAAATACATGGCAAAGAGGACAGTTCCTGTATGTAGCTAGCAAGCTTGCAACTGAGACATTAGCCACAGAACTACATGAATCCCACTAAAAGGAGGATAGTTCCTGTATGTTGCTAGCATTTTACAACTGAGACAACTGAAATCTGTATCATTCATCTACTGTTTATAATGACCATATTTTTCAGAACATGGTCTTACAAACTCCAAAGAAAATTTTTAAAAAAAAGCTGAAAGAATTAACACAAGCTGACAACAGTAACTTACCTTCCTACCATTATCCTGCTCTAAATGAAGGAAGTATGTGGGATAAATATTACGATCTACCCCTCTCTTGTCTCTGGTGATTCTGCACTTCATAGTTATACCCTGTGGGGCAGGTTTCAGAGCAAACTCCTCCAGATCTGTAGTGTCTGGTATGTAGGAATGTGCTCCAGAGCCTGGAGGGTAAGTGGAGTCACCGTCGCTTTGCCCTTGCTGTTAAAGGAAGAATTACATGGTATGCCTTAGTATCAATGAATGATTAGTCTAAGTCTTTATGCTAGCTCAGTCCCAGCTGAGTCACATAAATCAAGCAATGGACTCTTAAGTACACAGATGGCCAACTCATCATACTGTGCCACAGCATTGTTATAGTGACTGACAATGACTCTACCAAGCTACAGCTCTTTCACTGTCTACATTCTTGCAGACATTACCACTGGTAATCTCTACACACATGTCTGCATTCTTGCAGACATTACCACTGGCAATCTCTACACACATGTTTGCATTCTTGTAGACATTACCACTGGCAATCTCTACACACATGTTTGCATTCTTGTAGACATTACCACTGGCAATCTCTACACATATGTTTGCATTCTTGCAGACATTACCACTGGCAATCTCTATACCACTGGCAATCTCTATACCACTGGCAATCTCTATACCACTGGCAATCTCTATACCACTGGCAATCTCTATACCACTGGCAATCTCTACACACATGTTTGCATTCTTGTAGACATTACCACTGGCAATCTCTACACACATGTTTGCATTCTTGCAGACATTACCACTGGCAATCTCTATACCACTGGCAATCTCTATACCACTGGCAATCTCTACACACATGTTTGCATTCTTGCAGACATTACCACTGGCAATCTCTACACACATGTTTGCATTCTTGCAGACATTACCACTGGCAATCTCTACACACATGTTTGCATTCTTGCAGACATTACCACTGGCAATCTCTACACACATGTTTGCATTCTTGCAGACATTACCACTGGCAATCTCTATACCACTGGCAATCTCTATACCACTGGCAATCTCTACACACATGTTTGCATTCTTGTAGACATTACCACTGGCAATCTCTACACACATGTTTGCATTCTTGTAGACATTACCACTGGCAATCTCTACACACATGTTTGCATTCTTGTAGACATTACCACTGGCAATCTCTACACACATGTTTGCATTCTTGCAGACATTACCACTGGCAATCTCTATACCACTGGCAATCTCTATACCACTGGCAATCTCTACACACATGTTTGCATTCTTGCAGACATTACAACTGGCAATCTCTACACACATGTTTGCATTCTTGTAGACATTATCACTGGCAATCTCTACACACATGTTTGCATTCTTGCAGACATTACCACTGGCAATCTATACCACTAGCAATCTCTACATGTCTGCATTCTTGCAGACATTACCACTGGCAATCCCTACACACATGTCTGCATTCTTGCAGACATTACCACTGGCAATGCCCACACACATGTTTGCATTCTTGCAGACATTATCACTGGCAATCTCTTTACCACTGGCAATCTCTACACACATGTCCGCATTCTTATAGACATTACCACTGGCAATGCCCACACACATGTTTGCATTCTTGCAGACACAGCGGTCCGCATTAGCATTGGGTGGGAGGGGGGGGGGGGGGCAACCCTAGTGGCATACAAGCATTCTCCACATAGCACAGTGTCTGTGAAGTCAAAATTTATTTTTCCAAGCAGTCTATGTCAGATCTTTCAGGCTTACAACTTACACACTAGAATCTAACACTGAAACTTATCACAAGCACAACTCACATCCACAGACACATAAATTATTACTTTAGTTTTAAGACAGTCACTGATATACCATTATGCTATGGTCTGTAATTGTTCATTGTTCAATAATTTGGTAGCATGAGAAAGCAAAAGAAACACTGGGTGATTCTCAGTGGCTATGATTCAAAATAGCAAGAGATTGAGCCTAATAAGGCATGCACGTGCACACACATAAACACTGTCTTTAACTGTCTTATTTGCCAGTATTTACCACTTTAAGAGCGGTGTGGGACAAGGGGGGTCGTGAGTCCTAGGAGCTATGGCTTCATGGTTAGTGCAGCTACCACTAACTGTACAGGTTAAGATTTATAATTTTGCTCCCAACAGAAACATTTGCATGCCTTACTGAAGACTGAACTCAGGTCTCCCACACAACAACAACTGCTCCTCTGCACACAAATACACACGTACACATCTTGAAAGTAAAATTTAAGTACACTCTAAGATACACATCCTAAGATACATGGGTAGCAACTACAGCGAAATGGAAATAGAGCTAATAAACTTCACTTTTAGTGAATGAACTATTTTGTAAATACGTTTGTGACGAAATGACCTCAGTGGTCTCAGAAGTTATATTGTGTTTAATAATTTCTTATGTTCAGAGAAGGACAAAGAATTAAAAGCAATAGACACTGAGCCTAAAATAGTTCTAAAACCACTACAAGGGATTTGAGAATTGTTTAAACTGTGTTTCCAATCTCTAGCTAGACAAAGCAACCTTGCTTTATGTAATGTTACCTAATACTACTGTAGCTAGAGTTTCTCGTGTCTATGTCATAAATTTTATCTCCTGCCCAGTCTGTAGAGGCAAGTAAAGGGGGAGATAACTTCGTATCACACCTCAGATTAGCTCCCCTGAATCCGACCGTAGTGTCATAAAAAGTTACATAACACAGACTGAGGGGCTCCTTTTGAACAGGATAGATCAGGGGAATTAAGTGGTCCGGTAGACATTTCTAGACAGGATGACGTCCAGCGTCGGAAGTTTCACACCTGATAGTGAAATTCTCAAGAGAACAGATGTTTGGCAATTAGGAATGTTTAATCTTGGTCAAGGTCGTACTGTAGGCCGTTCACTGTGAGTGACAGGCCCATTGATAGCTAGGTTGATCTAATAGGTACCTCAGAGGCGGGGCTTAGGTCATCTCCTTTAGGGTTGGGTAGAACCGAGAAGAGGGTGGAGTTAACCTTGCAGACAGATAGGGGTATTAATAAGACAAGCCCTGGAATTCCCGTCATAATCGCTGCCACGAGCAAACAAACAGGTCGACCTTAGAGGTAATTCTAATGGTTTGATTCTAGTTTGGCGATAGCTGGAAGTTTCCAGGTAAGCCTGTACAATTATTTTCAATCTTGTATACATAGGTTAGGGAGTTAGCTAAAATCTATTCTACCTTTTCCTAATTTGTCTACACATTCTGCTTGAAATAGTTCTTTGTGAGTATTCAGTATCTCAGTTAGGGAACTGCTAAACTATCTCTATTTCTGGTATGTTTGTGGCACATGTTTTACAGTGTACGTTTTCATGTTTATAAAATAAGACTTGTATAATGAAATGTAATGAAATTATAATGTTTCAACCATCAACCAAAACATGGGTTTGGACTGTGGGAAATGATGCCCACATATGCAACCATGCTGTTACATTTTGTGTGCCCACCATGTGCTCACCTAATGTGTTCACCCGAACAGGGGATTGATAACCCCAGTGGAAGAATCATGAGTGTATATTATTCACTGTCACTGAAAGATAATATTCAGGACAGCATGCTCGTATAAAAATGTTTGGCGTGTTCAGCACATAACCTGCGCCACATGTTTATGTCAAATCAATGTCAGCAAGTTGGAAGTCTGAGTGATGACGGACAACAGAAAGTCAACTATCATGACAGAACCTTAGAGGGAAGGCAGGATATGTGAGACGTCGATTGTGAGACACAAAGACCTTCAGATTAGACTGGAGAGAATGTGGAATATGAGGAGGAGTGATGAGATATAATGTTTTATTATATATTGTATTAATTGACACATGTATTCTTAGTGTAAGTCAAGATACTACACGTATGTGTGTGTTTCCATTATTGCAGCTCCCATGTGGGTGAGGATCAGTCGTTTCTAAAAACAGAAATAGAGGGTCATCACGGTCACGAGACTACATTGTGTTAGAACTCGGCCAGCTGGAGAAACAGGTGGGAACCAGGGAACCAGGTGGAAGGACCAGGAGAACTGGGCGGAAAGATTGGAACAGCTAAGAAGGGACTCAACACGAGGACTCTCAGAGGTTCCACTTTCTAAAGTTATGTAACATGTATTTATGTAACTAAACACCACCATTATCATTCTAATCTTAGGTGCTCAGTTATCTAGCTGAAGCATCTCATTACCACCATACCATCACTATCTATTATAACAATAATGATGACTAATGTCATACTCTGATTGCTAGGTTAATAAATCAAATATATGGTCTTATCCTGCATCAGTTTTTGTAATTCCAAATGTGTCTGTTCTTACACGTTTAATTAAACAAATAAGATAGAATAGCATTTGGTGGGGGCTTATTAAATAATAATAATAATAATTCTGTACCAAGAGAAGGTCGACGGATTGGGTCAACTGCCCTGTCTAGTAAATAATTCAAAATAATAATATATAGACATCTAAAACCCATTTCCTTCTCTTGTGGGTACCAAGTTAAGCTAAAGTTAATATAAATAACGAGCCAATATGGCTGTTTTCTTGGATATCCAGGACTTTGTCTGAGAGCAACATAGCCCAGATAATAGTTCAGTTAATCTGGTGGAGGGGATGTGTTGAGAGGAAAATCCCTACTCAACATATAAATCATTTAAACCCAAATCCAGAGAACCCACGACCCGGGACGTCACACTGAAAGTGTTGTAATCTCAAAGGGAGTGGGCCGTAACGTCACACTGGGGGCTCGTCCGGGATTGGACTTGGCTAATCACTCCTAGACTAATTATAGTAAATTTATTAAATTTAACTTTAACTCTTCTGCCAGTATATAGTCTAAAGTATAATTAGTAATTTATACATGGAGAGAAATTATAAAGTATAAAATAACTTTTAATAAAATAAATAAATGGATGGTATTATTTAACTGTCTATCATTGATCACGTCATAACCATTGATCATTGTTTATTCAGTAAATTTTAGATAGAGTTGATTGTGATTATATCTGCTTGCATGTTTTATCATTTGATATAGATTGTAGAACATTGAATGTTGACATCATATCATTGATATTTATGCTTAGTGACTGAATGTAATATTACTTCACATCATTTACAGGCGTAATTTTGTGCTGCTATATCATTCTAAAAGCTGTC